GAACTGCAGTCAGCTGAAGTAGCCTGCAGTGCTGCATTTAACCACTGCGCCACCTCAGCTACAAGTCCAGGAGGATCATGAGAGGGGAAGAGGTTTGAACCCTCATACATTCCATGATGAAGTTTCTACAGGACTGACCTTTGTTCCAATACACAGCAGCTGGGGCCATGAACTCAGGAGGAGTGAAAGCAGCATAAAGTGGTACCCCTCAACACTCACAGTTGGTCTAGAGCAATGATTTTCAACCGGTGGTATGAGTACCACTGGTGGTACTTTGGCACCTGGCAGGTGGTACGTGACATTGTCAAGTGTAGCGGGGGGGGGGGGATGAGCTGAAGCAGCAGCATTGCCGGGGCTCTGCTGAAGGCCCAGGATCGGCACATCTGGCAGCCTCTGCTATCACCGGAAGCAACAGACAGGCCTTGTGGGTGAGTGTCAGCTGGAGCACTGGGGCTCGGTAGAGGCCCCAGAATCAGAGCGCACAGGGTCCAGCAGATCAGCACTGTGTACAATGGCCAGTCAGCGAGTTTGTAACCGCATGGGGGAGACTGGGGTAGCGACCAATGCTGGAACTCTCCCTGAGCCCCAAAGTGTTGTGCACCCATAAGAGGAGGAGGGGGGAGAGAGAGGATATAAAAGGAGAAAGAGGTTTTGGTGGGAGAGGGAGAGAAAAAAAAAGATGGGAAAGTGAAGGGTACGGAGAAGCGGAGAGGCTTCTGTGGGGCAAGCCTGAGAGAGAAAAGGGGATAGAATAGGAGAGGCTTCTATGAGACAAGCAAAGGGATCAACGAAGGAGCAGAGGCTATGGAAGGAGCCCAGCAGGCAGTGAAAGAGAAAGAGAGGAGAGGAAGACAGGAAGAAGGGCTGACCAGCCACCTGACCACCAAGGTAGTGGTGCATATTAATAAATATGGATATATTTGTCATACATTTGTGTAAAGGGAAAGTGATTCAACAAAGGAACCGTCAACGAAATTAAAACCAGCATCAAATTGAAAATACAGTGAAGATTATTTGAAGTTTGGATTTTATTTTGCAGAATAAAACAATCAGCAACTTCCTGTTTGTGTTATCTGCAATGAAGTACTATCCAAGCATTCCATGAAGCCTTCTTTGCTCCGGAGACATTTAACAACGTTCACACACCGAAAAGCCAGCAGCATTTTTTGTGAAGAAGAGAGACGAATTTATAAACTGCCATGCTGCTTTCATGAAGTCCACAACCATCTCGAAAAAATGTCTGGAAACATCTTATGAATTGTCCTTGATAGTAGCTAAATGAAATAAGCCTCACACAATTGTTGAAGTCGTGGTTCCCTCTGCTATTGTAATTGCTTCAATTCTCTTTGATGAAAAAAATGGCTGATGATATTTGTAATATTCCAAGTTCTGACAACACTGTCCAAAGACGAATACAAGATATGGCCACAGGACTTCCGTTTGGCGTCGCGCCGGAGCGGGGCTGCCGACAGAGCCTCTGCTCGGTTTGCCCAGTCTTTGCACGAGCGTGGCCGTAATAGGCAAGGTCTTTATGATGTCTGGCGAACAATGAATGACAAGATACAACAGTACACGTTTTACTCTCAACCACATAATTCATGGTCCCGTATCGATATGGTCTGGTCAAACCCGGAACTACTCATGGATACTGTAAACATTGAAATAACAACGAACAAGTGGGCCGACCATCACCCAGTCTTATGGCAATGGAAAGGGAAATCAAGGACAAAAGCTAGGTGGACATTAAACCAGAACATATTACAAGAGAAGCAATTTGTACAATAAATAGAAAAGGAACTGGGCCACTTTTTCAAAGAAAACTGTAAAGAGCAGACCTCAATACAAAACGTCTGGGACACGATGAAGGCAGTTGTGAGGGGAATATCAATGTTTACAGTATCCANAGAATTCCCCAGCCAGCGAATGCTGGCTGGGGAATTCTGGGAGTTGAAGTCCAGACATCTTCAAGTTGACAAGGTTGAGAAACACTGCCTTAGAATATGTTTATTGGATACATCATATCAGCACAGCCAATGAAAACCAAGTCTAAAAAGTTCCCATGGTTTCTGTATAATTAAGAGAATAAGAGTTTCCCTCCCCAGGTGTCACAGGTCACTTTTTCAAATTAAAGCAGCTGGCAGGCTCCTTGGTCACTCCTTCTCTGTTGTGATTCGCCTGTGGAGCTGGCAGCAGAGTTGGACAGTGAGGAAGTTTGGGGGGGGGGACATGGGCCAGTCCTGGAATCTGGGGAAGGCTCAGACGAGGGTTTTGCGTCAGAAAGGGGTCCAGGGCCATCTGAGAATTATGTGCTGCTTCGGACATCAGTGAGGCAGAAAAACAGGGGGAGCCTGTTTCCAGTATACGCATGTGCAGGGCTGCCAGAAGGCAAGAACAGTTAAGACAAAAGAGACAACTTGGGAGTAAGGCCCCTCCCATGAGACATAAAGGAGGAGCAAAGGCAGATGAGCATTTGCAGGACGCAACTGTTCGTTCCGGTTGGTTTAAATTCTGAAACTCCATTTTGAATCTGTACTCCTTGTGGCCTTGCAAAGCTAATTGGCATTTAGATCTTTGGCAGCGTTTCAAGGGAGAGAAAACTGGGTACTTATCAGCCTTATCCTGAAAGACACTGGCAGACTTCTGTCGGACTCTTTGCAAACTATTGGTGACTCATTACGGGCTGTGAATGAACATAATTCACAGCCATTGAAATAAAAAGAGGGTTTTTGGGACTAAGTGTGTACTTTTTTTACTGTATCAGAAAGCCTAGGTCAGAACATCCTCTATCCGCTGCCACCTGTTGGGATGACCTTGGTTCCCACAGGAGAGCACTTTGTCGTGTCTGCATGCGAGCTCTTTTCCCCTCCCAAGCTGCGTGGCGACTATGAAGCAGCAAAGATGACTTAAGCCAGGCTTGATTCAGAGTTGGCACCTGTTGGACATCGAGAGACAGATAGGAACAGCTGGGGAAAGAGCCCCGAGTCGCTTGCTGGGTGTTGCGAACAAGATGTCTGTCTTCATGCTTTGATTGTTCTTTGCAGAAATCTGATCCAGTCGTGTCTTACCGGGAGACTGTTAGCGAGGAATCGGGAACGTTGTGCCTTTCCAAATCGCCCAACAAACACAACCGCCTGTACATGAAAGCCCGCCCCTTCCCAGATGGCCTGGCCGAAGACATCGACAAGGGGGATGTCTCATCCCGCCAGGAGCTGAAGCAGCGGGCCAGATACCTGGCTGAGAAGTACGAATGGGACGTGGCTGAAGCCCGTAAGATCTGGTGCTTCGGCCCAGACGGCACTGGTCCCAACATCCTGACCGATATCACCAAGGGGGTGCAGTACCTCAACGAGATCAAGGACAGCGTGGTGGCCGGCTTCCAGTGGGCCACAAAGGAGGTGAGTGTGGCCCTTGTGGCTGAGTCGTAAAATCACTTTTGACTTTTTAGCAAATTACACCTTTCTCAACAAATTGAGTTAAAGGATCCTTTTTACTTGGAGGTTCAAGCTGAGTCTCGTCTGACATTGAGCCAGGTTGCTCCTTCGACGTTTATTATTTGTCGTATGGCGCACTCACATATTTTGATAAAAAAAAACAAGAGATTAAAAATACAAAATGTGAAGTCTTAAAAAATTATAAATGTTTGTCTAGATTACAGATCTATTTATTCGCTTCTTTTGTCCTTGGCCAAGAAATGAGCAAAGTCTATTATAGGCTCTATTTTGGCACTTTTGACACTTGAACTGCTAGGTGTGTAAGAGCTGGAGTGAAGGACAGGAGCTCACCCTTCACACAGCAGCGCTTGGGTCTTGAACATGCTGATTGTCAGCCCAGTGCCCTAACCCCGCGAGCCACCGCGCTCCCAGTTTCCGAAGTAAGGCGTGGGAGGAGTCACACGTGGGTATTAACACAGCCCTTTTGCCCTGGAGACTGAGGTAAATCTTGAGGCCACACCTCCATTCCTCCACTGACGTCCCAGATTCACCTCAGTCTCCGGAGCCACCGCACTCCCATTTCCTTCGCCGCAAATGTGTACGAATCTTTCGGTCTTGATTGTGAGTCTCGACACCTCTCGTCTGCCCTCTTCAGGGAGCCCTCTGCGAGGAGAACCTGCGAGGCGTCCGCTTTGATGTGCACGACGTCACCCTGCACGCCGATGCCATCCACCGCGGCGGCGGCCAGATCATCCCCACAGCCCGGCGGTGCCTCTATGCCTGCATGCTGACAGCTCAGCCCCGCCTCATGGAGCCAATCTATCTGGTGGAGATCCAGGTAGGTGTGGAGGGAAGGAGGGTGGATGAGTTAGGAACTGCCTAGAGGGTTTTTTCCCCCAATCTCACTGGAGGCCTCCTTGTTTTTCTCCCAGTGCCCTGAACAAGTAGTGGGCGGCATTTATGGCGTGCTGAACAGGAAACGAGGCCACGTCTTTGAAGAGTCCCAGGTGGCTGGAACCCCCATGTTCGTGGTAAAGGCCTACCTGCCTGTCAACGAATCTTTTGGTAAGTATAGATCTTTTCCCCTGGGCTCAAAACGTCAACCGTCCCAACATGGTCAGTTAGAAAAGAAAGACTCCTAGCCAAATGTATATTAGGGGGGTTGCAGAAGAGGCAACGCTAGATCTGAAATTTGCAGGCGCAAAAGTTCCAGTTAACTTTCCCTTGGTCCCGGACAGTCGTTCCCCCCCCCCCCACCCCAGTTTTCTCATGTCCAATCAGGTGTTTGGAAAACGGTCCTTGTGGGCTCCACATTCGTTTGGTGTGGAAGGTACCTTGTAGGTCATCTAGTCTAACCCCCTATCCAAGCAGGAGATCCTACACCATTTCTGACAGATGGCTGCCCTGTCTCTCTCATTGAAATACTCCAGTGATGAAGCTCCGGGAACTTCTGAAGGCAACTTCCCTTCCATTGGTGCATTGTTCTGGCAGGGAATTTCTCCTTATTTCCAGGTTGAAAATCTCCTTGATCAGTTTCCATCCATTATTCCCCGTCTGGCCTGTGGGTGCTTTGGAAAATAGCTTGACCCCTTCCTCTCCGTGGCAGCCCCCTCAAATATTTGAAGATTGTTATCATGTCTCCCC